ACATGGTATGGACGTTGGCGAACGTTAAAGCAAATTTAATGTATGCTATCCACAGTTAGACGTCAATTTATATTAAAAAAGTGTCGTTCCAAATTTTCGTACGATTTTTCCGTCTAGCTAGTCCCTTTCACAACGCGCGATAAGGAACTTCGTTCCAAAAAAAATAATTGTTTAAATACATTTTAGAAGTTTCCGGCCTATAGGCACGATGAGCCTTGACACCCAAAAAGTGTGATTGGCGTGGTAATCGCCTGCGGCTATAAAGCGATGGCCTAAGATATTGAAGTAGTCGTAAAATTGACTTTCTTTAATTGTATGCCTTGGGGGACAGTACAAAGCTGATACTGTGATGTTAAAATAATCATACACTACGACGTTAGTTGCTTGGATGTAGTCCTTACAATATGACTGACATTGGTGATGTTTGATATTAGTTCTGATGAGGATGAATGACCCTCCATATGCTTTTCCATCGGGATGCATAGTATGATATAAGTTATACTCGGGAATTTCGAAATAACTCTTCGCTGTGAAGTGAGTTTCCGATATAAGCATTATGTAAATTTTATTTATTTTAAGAAAAGTTTTTAACTCCTTCTAGTGTATGGTTAGCCCATTAGCATTCCATACGCAAAGCTTTAGGGCAGCGAATTTATTGGCATTTTTGACATGATATCTTCTAAGATTTGGGTCATCTTGAGCATTTGATTCATGAGGATTTGCATTGATACTTTAAAAGCTCGAAGGGCTTCGGATATGTTATATTTATTACTTGTGGCTCATTGGCTGGATGATTTCCTTCACGAAGTATGCATTTAACGTTGTCAGAACGTTCTTTCCTGGAGCATTTTGATGTGTGGTGAGATCCTGCGCATTTAACACATTTGGGCTGTCTGTGACAAAAGTTTTGTGTATATACTGATACACTGAGGTATAGTGCGCTTGGGTCTTGGAGGTTCAATTTCTATACGAATTGAGTAGTCTTTTTATGTTGTAAACTTCCTTGTTGTTATAGTAAGGCTGAAGGTCTATAAAAACATTGACAGTGGTTTGTTTTTTTGTTTTTGATGTTCCAGATGTTGGTAGGTTTGTGTCCTAGATCTTCTAGAGCTTTCCTTAGCGAGTCAGTGTTAGTTGAGGGGTGAATGCGTTTTAATACTACCCTAAAGCTTCTCTCCTGCTTTATTTTGTATGTAAAAATTCAGTATCTCTGAATTTTAGTTCCTTATATATAGCAGAGTATGCTTCGTGGGCGTGGGCTTGTATTTTACTCGACCACTTTGAAGGATTATTATTTCATAGTTTGCATGTGCCACCTTCTCTAACATTTCTGTGAGGGGTTGAAAGTTGCTAACCTTATCAATAAAGAATGGAGGGGGCTTGGTTATCTTTACGGTTTCCGGTTCTGATGGTCTTGCTTGGTTTGTACTCGTATTCTTGAGTTCAGAAAAGCTATTAAAGGTAGGAATTGGAGTTGCTAGCCAATAATTTCGTTTGGTTTTCTGATTCCTGCTTATGTTTTCAGGGCTACCTCTCTCTATTTTACGGTGGTTTACTTCCTGCCATTTAGCGTGTTCAGTGAGACTAGGCTAGTGAGCTTATATTTTTTCAGGTTCCTTTTCTGTGGGTGTCTGTACACGAATGTGTTCTACCGAAGAAGATCTGGGCACGGTACTATTATAATACAGTACTCCAACTTCATACAAACGGACGAAACGCGAGCTATACCTACGCGCCTCGATCTCGGGGTGCGCTCGGGGCGCAGACAGTCACGGCTGTACCGCAGTGTCGGACGGACTGTGTGTTGTTTTTTTAACAATAACCGCGTGATATTTTCTCTAAAAATCAGTTAATATGACGAGTAGGAAATATTGTGCTGTTTTTGGTTGTATAAATTCGTCAATAACGCATCCAGACATAAGTTTTTTTAAATTACCTGGAAACTCTGAAAGGTAACACTATAATCATTTTACTTTACTTAATAATAATTAATAAAATAATAATTATACTTACTAGTAGGTAGGTACATAACATGTGTCTTTTTAATGGATAAGTATTTCCTTTTATCTCACGAAAAAAAAGGTGTTTGGATTAATAAATAAAGCGAATAGAGTAACGGAAAGTTATTGAGACGAGTGAAATAGGTAGTTATATGCGGTTCTGAATGAATCATGATACGGTAGGTACCTACTTACGCTTGTGTTAAAACTTCGGTGCATGTGTGTTTTGTTACTTTGCATAATTCAAAGTAAAGACATGGTATTTATTATTAATAATATTTGTTTATTATCTGTGTGTATGAATAATACTAGAAACATTTTTTTACCGTCTGTGTGTCATTAGATAGTTTTCGAAATTTTCACAAAGTGTTTCTGCTGCTACTATAACAACATATACCACTAAACACTGGTTTTATTTTCTCGGTATTAACAACAACAGCTAGACTCATGTATAATATTTAGATGTTTGAGGGTTGTGATTTTAAAACATTCGTAGTCAGCTGTTCAGCTTTTTATTAATTAATTAATTGGTGACCAAAGAATTTTTGTTTTGAGTTGTTGCGAGTTGTAGGTAGGTACCTAATTTATAGAGACGTTAATAAGCTGGGATAAAAAGTTACTTGCTCGTCAGCTGTTTCTTGCATTCTAGTTGAGTAGGCAGGTGTTGGAGTTACTAAGGATTGGAGTTTTGTAACGCGTATGGAGAATGCACATTTTTTTTATTTTATAGAAGGATTTTTAAGCTATTGCATAGCTTTTATCGCGGGCTCTGAGCGCGGCGCGGCGCGGTGACCGAATCAAGAAATTCTCAAAACCTACCGAAAAATACCTGACACCACGCAGATTTTTTTCTTTAAAAAAATATGTTATGCAACAGCTTTACCGCGGCAGTCTCCGAGAGTGCCACATGTATTTTTTTTTCAGACGTCTTCAATGGTTGCAACTGATCCGGCGAGATGATTTGGAAAACAAACCTAACTTTAGTTCCTACCAAGTTTGTGAAAAACATTTTAATTTGGAGGATGTATTACATTCATCAAATAGAAAACTTTAAAAAATGCCCTACCATTGTTGATGCTGCCAAGCTTAGCTAGTACTGATCCAGGAGTCTCTCTAAAAGAAGATAAACAAACCCAAACTGCTCCGTTGGTAGGAAATGAAAATAGTACACAGACTGAAAATGCAACAAATGAAATCTTTGCTCAAATCTCAACGAGTCTCTCTAGCAACACTCCAAGAAAAAGAAAATTGAAACTTGAGCTCCTCCAATGCAGAAAGAAAATAAAATAATTAAATCTACCAATCAAAAAACAACACGCATTTTTATTGAACACTTCCTATTCAATATACAAAGTATTTCATTTATTTATATAAAAAGGATATTTACAATCACAAATCTAAATAGAAACAGAAAGTAGGCAAATATAATTAAAATGCTGGAGACGGGCAGCCCTAACGCATGTTTACGTACCGCGCGGCTGTAGGCATTTATTTCTATCATGCGGCCGAGTTACACTACTGTATTATAATTGTACCGTGATCTGGGTCTTGGTTTAAGCAAGCTCGGGTGGAGGACTTGTTGGATAAGTTTTTTGTTGGTGCTGTTGGTGCTTCCAGATGCATTTACTGTCGCAGAGGCCTGGTCGCCTACCCCTGTGAACTCTTCGGTAACTGATTTCACACTCGCAGGACCGAGTAACCACGAGCGCCGGGGGTTAGCTGGAGCGCATGACACGTTTCTCTCATTATTATACGACCTTTTTATTAGTTGGGGTTGGAAGATACATATAGCACTTTTCCAAGGTGCTATTGCGACACTTTTAGAGGGCATTTAACTCCTCTAGGCTCGTGGTAGCCTAATATAGGTTATTTTCTTTCTTTCTTTTTTTTCTTTTTTAAAAACACACCTTAGGAATATATTCCTGTGTCGCGGTGGACTTTACAAACATATATGAAACTGTCACAAAGAACACCCAGACTAAGAACAGCAATTTGTGGATCACACAAAGTAGTCGCTCAATTTCTTACGGGTCATGGTAACTTTAAGAGCAAGCTTTATTCATTTAAATTAGTCGAGTCACCATTGTGTCAATGCTCAACACCTAACTCTCACTATGAACAGTCTGCTCATCATATCCTCTGGGAATGTAGTCTTTGGTATAATGAACGTAATATAATGCTGAATACCTTGCAGGTGACATCTGGGGCGGTATACTATGGGGATCTTGTGTCAATTAGGGTGAATTTCCGTGCGTTTAGGCGATTCTGCCATACATATTATAGAAATCAAATATAGCTCACGTAGGACCCGTAATATTTCGTGGCCGTGGTGCTTCCCTGTTTAAAAGGGTGTATGCCCATTTTATTTCATTTTGTCTCCCGCTTTGCTAAGGAGGGAAGTGGATTTACTGTATTTCCAACTCCTCCAATTTTCTTCTGATTAATTTCGTTGCGGGTTCCAAGACAGTTTAATTTCTTCCTGGGACTTCCCGAGTGTCATAACTCGGTGTGTTCGTGGGTCACTGCTGTGGATCCTGGTGTACAGGAGTTACAGTGGTGGGCATGTGGGCGGGATTAGTCCCATCACACAAAGTATTGTTCCATGCGGGGATCGAACCCACAACACTTAGCGCAGTAGGAAGCGGCAAGGTGACCGCTTACACCACTACGCTATCCGTGCAGTCAACCAAGTTGACCGCCGCCTATGTCTCGGCGTTGTTGTCCCACCCAGGAGTCTTGTAGGGGAGGCCTAGTAAAGGTGGTAAATGCTACGGACGCGAACAACTTCACCCCCAACATCAAAATTTTCAGTCTTAAACTATGCCTGCCATACTCTTAGACGTAACTAATCTTTATTAACTAATATAAAAAGGATCTATGATGGACTTATTAAATAAAATACCTGCATAGCAATAAAAATGTATTAGGCTACACTCTAAAAAAAAAATTAATATAAAATTAAATATGGCTCTAAATTATACACGAACTGATCAGCTTAACTCATAAGAGTTGGGTATTGTAATACAAACTGCTTGATGGTTTTCTGTTACATTTGCAATACGCAGAGCTAGCTTCAAAGGGAGAAGTAACCCCTGTTTCAAATGTACCCAAAGTTCTCAATGGAGGGCGTAAGGGCCGTGATGCAGCTTTACCTAGATTGTCAGCGCTAAGGGAAGACTCTGGACGTCGTAACTTATACTCGCGTTCAGTACGCATTCTTTCATAACGTCTAGCATATGCAACACTACGTTGCAAAGCTGCAAGACTATCTGTGCGGGCTGGAAAACGTTCCATGCTGTTTGACACTTCACCTAGTTCAGCAGTGTCTGTGTCTACGATTTCTTTATGATCTAATACCATACCAATATTGAGCTTTAAGTTAGCAGAACCATCTCTAAAAATTAAATAAATTGTGGCTTGATCCAGCACCTTGAGGGAAAAGTGGTCATTGATTTTTAAAGCTTTCATTTTTATTTGGAATGGCTTGAACTTTTGTGTTAATTTCTTACTTTTCTCTTTTATGAAATTGTCAAACTCAATTGCTAGCATTTCTTCATTATCTGGTCGAGTTCTATTATCTGCTGGCCCCCCCATCTTCAATATATTAGGGTCTTTAAGAGGCATCTGCGTGTCTATCATAACCTGTTGTAAAACAGGAGGGTCATTAAGACTGTGCCACTTCCAGTTTGTTACAGGACCAACACTGCGGTCCAGTAAAACTCCTTCGGTTTGATTGTATTTAAGGCTGTGGACAATATAAGTAAAAATACTTTATGACACATACAACTTTTGAAGAAAAGGTATCATATTATTCAGACTATAAAAAGATTACACATTTACTTAACTATGAATATCAAAGTACCTAAAACGGGCAAGTGAAAGTCAGACTTGTGTAAAAGTGATTCTATACCATTCCTAGTTGCAAGCACAGTGTGAAAATAATTATTTCGTGTAATTTACGCTCTGTGATCATTTCATGTCATTATGAATTGAACGAAAACTTAAGTGTATTGTATGGGATTGAATGCCCTTAAACTTAAAACTTTTTTTATTATTTGTTGTTATAGCAGCTACAGTCTTCTTCAAATTTTTGAAACTGCGTTTCTACCTAAACCTACTAAAAACCTACACACTTAAGACATGCATACAACGATTTTTAATTGTATATTATTAATTGTTTATTATTTTTAATTAATTATTACTACAATTATTAATTAAATATTATTTTTGTTATAGTACTAATACGAGTAGAAATACACTCTGTTTAAACTTTGTACATTGCGATCCCGCAATCTATCCAGATACAGGCCGCTGACAAACAAATGTTGAAAATATCACGTTCCTTGTAAAGAACTCGCCTTTGTCCATAATTTATTTTGTATTACTAGCTGAGACCCGCGGTGTTACCCGTGTTTGTTGTTATAACCGCGGGCAACGCCGCGGAGCGAAGCTAGTCTAAAAAAAGTAGCCTAAGTTACTCCTTATGTCATCAGCTATCTGCCAGTGAAAGTCCCGTCGAAATCGGTCCAGCCGTTCCAGAGATTACCCGGAACAAACAGACAGACCGACAGACAGACAGACAGACAAAAATTGTAAAAAATGTTATTTTGGCATATGTACCGTGTAAACATACATATGCATTTAGTAAAAAGCGGTTATTTTAATATTAGGTCTTTACCTATGAAATTGCCGTTTTGTATGCAATAAGTGAAAGTACTTATTTTTTCAAACTTTTTTATTTCTGTTATTCGAAGTAATCACCCATGCAATCGACGCATCTTTGCCAACGCATTGGCAGTTTATTGATGCCCTTCTTGTAAAAATCAGCTGGACGGGAGGCAACAAACTCTTCAAAGGCATTTTGTACTGCCTCTCGGGAATTGAATTTTTTACCCACTAAAAAGTTGTCTAAATTTTGGAAAAAGTAATAGTCGGTAGATACAAGGTCTGGTGAGTATGGCGGATGAGGAAGAGCTTCCAACCCTAGCTCTTGCAGCTTGGAGACTGTCTGTTGCGCAGTATGGGGTCGCGCGTTGTCGTGAAGGAGCAGTGGGGACGACCGATTGACCAAAGCTGGTTGCAGATGACACCAGACCTTGCACCTACCGACTATTACTTTTTCCAAAATTTAGACAACTTTTTAGTGGGTAAAAAATTCAATTCCCGAGACGCAGTAAAAATGCCTTTGAAGAGTTTGTTGCCTCCCGTCCAGCTGATTTTTACAAGAAGGGCATCAATAAACTGCCAATGCGTTGGCAAAGATGCGTCGATTGTGTGGGTGATTACTTCGAATAACAGAAATAAAAAAGTTTGAAAAAATAAGTACTTTCACTTATTGCAAACAAAACGGCAATGTCATAGGTAAAGACCTATTATTACAAACAGACACTCTAATTTTATTTATTTGTATGTATAGATTTATCCTCAAAGTGCAACAAAAAGTTTAATAAGATCCAGCAGCATCCATGACATGTAAAACAGGGGTTTAGAGTTGGTACCTTTTGGGAATGCACCCCAAACAGTTTATTGTTAGAATGGGAGGAATAGAATGAGGAACCACACACACCACATCTTAAAAAAAGGGCCTTAATAAGAGTAACTAAAAAAATAGTGTCGTACCGTATTTTGCCCGCATGATCGAAAACTACACCATTGCCTAGATGATCAAAAGTTGCTAGAATTGTGATTGGATGAGACCGGCCACGTTCATCAACTTCTCCATTACTATATACAACAAAGCGTTGTTGAGTGTTGGTTTCTGTAACAGTAGGAAAGAATTGGATTACATTGACGATGACTCTTACAGGTTACAATTTCATTCAAGGCAGAAAAAGGACAGTAAGTCACCTTCTGCCTCGTAGTAGTCTAATGCAAGACAACCATTTTTATAAAACCAACGACCACGTCCGTTGTCATCAAATTCTGCTAGTTTCGCACCCGTATCATACACCATCAATCCCTTCTTTTTGTTGTGTTCAAACCAATCGAATTCCGGTTGAGCAGGACGCATGCGATAAATATTCATCTGAAAATAATTAAATACTGTATACGGTCATCCAATAGGTTAAATACTTCAATCAACCAACAAATCCGATGTCTAAAACTTTGTGTCCGGTTTATACATGGTAGTAAAGTCGTCCGCGATACAGGATAAATTCCTTTTGCGGGAGTTTTAAGAAAAAAAAATGAAAACCAACCACTTGTCGCCAGTCAACATTTCTATATTCCACCTTAACTACTTAACGATACCCAATGTCTCATGACATTGGGTATCGTTAGATTAGAAGTCTAAGCACGCACCCAAAGCTATTGCTTTAATCTTCTAAATCGTAAGGATTAAACAGAATCCGTTGTACAATTGACTGCAAATACCTACCGGTACCGGTATTTGATAAGATATTAAACCTAATAATCAGATTATGACTAATGTCGATTCTTGAGATTTTGGTCTAGATTGTCATCGTTTTCAGCGGAGTTCGTGTAGGGAGGAGAAGAAGGACTCCCGTAAGTGTATGGCTCGAGCTGAACTGAGCTACAGTCTACGTTCACCCTGAATCATATCGCTCTTCTAGGTTAGATTTTTACAGAAACTGAGTGATCGGACACAAAATGTTAATAACTTGTTAGTGTTGCACAGTCCGATGGAACTGCTCCTGCTAAACTGATGGAACTAACGCCCCAAAAAGCCTATAACGCTACGAATCTAGTTTCGGCTCGAGTTTCAGTTTCGGCCGAAACTTACGGCCGCACCAAAACTCAAGTGTTTGGGGGCAAGCGAGCGGACAGTTCGAATGATAAAAGTCTAGTCCAGCTCGAGGACCATGAACAAATCCTTTGTTCAGGGATTCAAGCGTAAACAGAGTAGTAAAACAACCAAATTCCATTTACGGTGTTAACCGAGTATATTTAAAGTAACACAATAGCAGGGTTATAATAAACATTCCGGAAATTTTTATTATCGCGATGTAGAAGTGTACACAAATTGAACAGCGCCATCTAGTGACGGTAATGAAAATTACAAAAGATAAAACTTGGCTACAATAACCTGCTTGTACAATGTCTTTTACTTTTACCAACATCTGTCAATAAAATATTTTTACAAATTTTAGATCTAGCACCCCACGCTTTGTGTATTGTACTGTAAAGCATGTGTATTGTAAAAGTGTGCCGTTAGCGGTCGGTGACGAACTAAACATTGGGCGAGTGTGTAAACACCACAGGCCAAGCTACGGTACGATTCCTTTGAAGAGTGCCCAAAAAACTGACAACACGCCGAATGCGCGCCAAAGTGGCAAAACGGCCGCCAATGTATACATAACTCCGTGTACACACAAATGCTACGGGCCTCGCGCATTTGGGGGTCTCGCGCACCAAAGCTTTCTGACCGTAAAAAAGTGTCGTTATTCCGATCGCAGCGTGAATTATTTTTTGAAATCAATATAGCCACAATTCTTATCACGAAAGAGTTGCCTAAGCTGTAGAAGAGCCATCTCCCGTCAAGTATCAGGTCCAGGTACTTTATCTGTCGTCTCAAACCCTTTAGGGCTTGTTTCAAGTTGTGACTAGTAAAATCAACTCGTCTGGCCATCGTGGTAGCGCAGGCAATAATCTACTATGTCCAGAAGACTACTATAGGCTGTTGTTGATGATCATGAACACCATAAACTAGATAGCCTAAACAACCCAAGGGCCCCTTGATAGAATATGCTACAGGCCTGCACTGTGTACACACTGGTGTTTGCTTGCATTGGCCCGAGTTGGTCCAATATGTAGTACCGCCTTTGCGTCCACTAGTAAGGCATGTTTCGTTTGTCGAGGATGATGGTTAAAGAAACCTTTTTAGTTCCTAACACACTGTCGTATAATAAATAAACAATTATTTCCTAAAAAAGTACCTTCCTTACAACTTTTTCTACAGGTAGCATAGTCCAGCCTTTTTCAATGAAGGTGCGATCAGACAGGGCATAGCGAATAACACCTTTACCTGCTTCTGGGTCTATCTGTAATATTTATAGGAGTATTATAAACAAATCAGGATTACAAGTGCAAAGTAAGCTGCCCTAAGATATTCTTCTTTTGGAGCGAAAATAATTTATAATTATTTAGATTTTCCTGATGTTCTTGATACTTACTGGTTCAACGGTTTTTTTCTTGGACATTTCTAATTGAGCCTATAAAATAAATGTAATTATTAACGTGTAAGGATTATAAATAATAGACTTTTTTAAATAAGCAAAAAACATAAATAGCAATGTAAAACTTTCAAAAAAACAATGTTAAAATGTCAAAATCCCAATTGTCAATCAAAAATGAATACATTTGACTGAATGATTAAAAACAAACTTCCGGATGGTTTTTTCTCTTGAAATTGTCTGTGCCTTTATATTAAGAAAAAAAGTTTTGTCTACCAGAAGTTGAAAATTCATTCATAATCCAATTTCAATCTATTCTCGATCTCACAAATGTCATAAAAGGTAATCTCGTATTAAAGTATTAAACATCCAACGTTGGCTGTAATATGATTATATCGTATTGTGACCGAAAGTTGAATCGGTATTCTGGTAGTCTTAATAATACTACCTTTTATCACACTTGTAAGATCGAGAGTAGATCCTAACTGAATTTTGAACGAATTTTTATTACGAGAATTTGACCTTTTGGTAAGTAATATATCAGATACATACATGTATTGTATGAAATATTACAGATAAAATTGAAATACAATCTATATTAATACATATGACAAATAAGTTCCAAATAGATTTAGAGATTACCTGACTGGGTTGGCGGTTTACATTTTAATTCCAGTTGGCGTTTTTTTGTAACGTGTGGAAACTCTCTCGAGCCGTCACCCCTCTGCGCCTGTAATAGGCCTGTCCCAGCGCCACTCGAATATTGTAGACAGCCAATCCAGTGCCAGATTAAAGGTTGAGCAACGAACATGCTCAGCGTTGTTCTTTGGATCTTTGCGTTATTTATTTGTAAAATTTGTTGTGGGTAAAGTGTGTAAAGTGTAAAGTTTGATTGTACAGAAAGTAAGTATGTACGTAGTATCACCAACGTGATTACGAACCATCACCGCCGGGACAAATGACGATGGAACTTGACAAAATGGATAAGTGGTTCCTCAAATATTGTTTGTTTGTTGCCTCAACTATTGATAAAACTCGACTTTGATTTTGATGTTGCATTAATAGCAATTTCGCATTAATTGCAACTTATTTTTATTCAGCTGAATATCTTTTGTTTTTACCTCCCTTCTCTTACATAATAGGCGAATTTAATATCATTAAGACACAAGTAATACTTACATTCACTGCTAATAATTGAGGTTTTAATATAGTTGCTTCAGTTCAGGATGGACCTATTATCATTTCTTATGCTACTATTTTTCACCCATCTACAAAAAGCAAAATTATCGTTGGATTCACTATTAAGACCGTTCCTTGACCTCCATTATGAATGTAAACGATCCTAAATCTACAAGCAGCGTTAAGGTGGTTTTATACGGCTCTCTTAAATTGGCAGGGGGAAATGGACGGGCACGCCATTATTGCGGCGGTAAGACCCGTTATGGATTGAGTGAGGATTGGCTCGAGAGGCATCACGGGACCCTCTCATTCCGGTGACGACGGTAATCACTGGGAAAGATCACCTGTGTCTGATCCGCAAGGAGTCAACGCCTGAGTACCACCATTGCGATGTCCGGACGGTGGACACGGCGCTCCACACGCTGGCAGAATGCCCGGCGTGGGTGGAGCAGAGGCGTGACCTCTTGACGGCTATCGGGGTGGGAGTTCTCACTCTCGGTATCATGATTGCGGCTATGGTGCGGAGCGAGAGTGCGTGGAACGAAGTCCCCGTTCTGCGAGCAAGTTATGTTTGCGAAGAAGATGGCGGACCGGGATCGGGAGAGTCCGCAGGCGGTTTAGGCGCCGGAGGTCGCAGAACGACCTCCGTCCTCCATAAGCATGAGGTGAGGCCAACTGTCACTCTAGCAGAAGCAGGCCGGGGTGGCGGCGGGACGCGCTGCGGAGCGCGCGCCCTTTCGGGAGCACCAAAGGAACATGGGAGTTCCTATACAGGAGGGGGTCATCTACCAGCCGTAGATGGCCCGAGGTACGCCGCGGGCCGCCAGAGAGTTGGGACCTCTGGTAGCAGATTAAATGCTGCGGTAGGTCTACCCGTTCCTGAGAAAATCGGTGGTGACACACGGACAGACGGACAAAAAATTGATCTTACAAGGGTTCCTTTTTACCTTTTGACGTACGGAACCCTAAAAACAGGGACAACAATTTTATTATATTTATTATTTTAAAATTCAAGATGCGTTTAGAAAAAACACAAAGAAAAAAAAGCAATGATATGATTTCGTTTCGTTCAATTTACTACAACTAAGTACTTCTACTTCGCTTAACCGTTCCCTGAGAAGAATCAGTCTCAATTTTTTTGAAAGTAGAAATGGAAGGTGATTAATAAATTTCTCATTGTTTTTTTAATTTAATAAAAGTGAGTTATTGTATACTCCTTCTATGACCATAATTAGCGCAATTCTATTGAAACTTCGGCGACGGGTAATAAAAAAGTTATCTAAAAAAACGCGATCCGCGAAGTCCTGATTAACACATCTAATAGATCTATCTAGCAAGTATCAACGCGAAAAAAAAAATCACACAGCCTACTAGCCTGCAGCCTAGGTATTAGAAAATAAACGATGAACACAAACATTGTCTTTAAGTAAATTGCTGCTTCAAGATAACCCAAGAAAAGGGTCAGAAATATGATTGCTTTATTGTTGTCAAACTATGTACAGAAGTCCCTAAATGTAATAATATTTGAACTTTGTCTATTTTATTTACTTTTCTTTGTTTTAACTTTACGAAGTCTGTTTCATACTTAGTCTTTACGTTCTATTAGTATGTACTAGAGATCGCCTGAGTTTCGATGCTTAGAATGTCTTGTTTCTTTTTATTTACCAGTAAAACTGGAACTGTCATTGCATGGAGTGTGTTCCATAACAGTTCAAAATATATAATGGACTAAGTGGCTTAGTAAATTTAGTGGTATATTATATTATTTTAAGTATTATATAGTATTTAAGAAAATAAGTTTTAAAAACAATATAAACATTAATTTAACACAACAAACACAACATTACAACTTAATTACAACACAACAAACACAACATTACAACACAACAAAACACAATATAAACATTAAGTACTCCAAATATCCGTACTCCGTATTTGCTTAAAAACACAAAGAATTTTCTTTACGTATTAATATAGCTTTTACCACATAATTGATGCAACAATAATATTATAACTAGGTATAACGAATTAAAAATGAATACCACTCGCCTTTTTACCATCTTCGGTTTCTAGTTGGGCCTCTTCTACGGCCTGAAGTGGTGCTAATGAAGAGATTTCTGACAGTTTAAGCTGAACGTATATTGGTTGTATATCTTGTCCCTCACGTTTTGGAGGACAAATCGGGGTTTGCTCACCTTCTAAAGCAAAAGTATAGAGTTTCAAATGTATAAGTAAACTTATTTTGAAACCAGCTGTGCCCGCGACTCAGGTGGATCTCGACATTAAAAGCACATATTAATACTATCGAATCGCTCCGGCTTAGCACCGTATAATGTAAATACTAACGTGATGTCAGTGTGGTGTGGAATGATTAATTATATTATTATTATGATTAGACTATACTACAGCTACAGTGTTGCCAACTGCACCGTAATTACGGTAAAAACACCGTAATCAGCATAGATCTACCACCTACCGTAGGATTATAATTACGGTAGCAAAATACACCGTAATAAACAATGAAGATCGTATTTTTTTTAATCTTGTAGATAAATATGATTATCTATTAACTAAAATAGTTTTAGCGGGTTTGAATGTTTATTTTCTTTACGTTAGGGTATTTTCCTTTCATTCTACCGACAACACTGTTTCATGCGTCGGGAAATCCCCCAATAGCGCGGTGAGATATTATGCGAACGAATTCGGTGGTGGTGTATATACTTAGAACTTTTTAATTTACCCAGTTTATTTGTATCTTATTCGACCAACAGTCTAACTAACATTTCATTCATTCGTAACATTACATAAGGTAAGAGTTTCTTGTGTTGTGTTGTGTGTGATCTGAGTATTTAAAAAGATGGAGAGTGATAGCGACAGCGCTACTGATCGAGAAGATAGCCTAACACGAGTACCGGCTAAGAGAAAGCGTTATAAGCAGAAGTTTCGAGAAGAATGGTTGCTGAATAAAGAATATAATTACTGGCGAAGAAAAGATGATAGGGACTTATCGAAGGCATACTGCAATGTTTGCAATACATCTTTTAGTGCCGATAAAAGTGTAATAAAACGCCACAAAGAAGGAAATAAACACGTGAATAATTTAAAGAGGTGTATTGCTTCAACGTCCAAAAAACAACAGCCTATAGTAAGTGTTTTTAAATCCATGCCAACTAATGAAAAGCAATTGTTAGACTTCAGAAATAAAATTAGTTGCTTTTGTTGCCGAGCATAAGATATCTCATAATGTCATGAATCACTTAGCGGATTTGTTACCAAAGTTGTTCCCAGATTCTCAGATAGCCAAAGATATTAGATTAAAAAGAACTAAAGTTCAAGCTGTGATAAATAACTTTATTGGGAAAACTGAAAAAAAAAACTTGATCAGTGACTTGAAGTCACAAATGTTTTCAATTTTGAAAGCGAAAGCACAGATATTGCTGTAGTAAAAACAGTAGCTGTAGTGGTCAGGTATTATGATCCAATGATTGGTAAAGTGAACACTCGGTTTTGGGATTTGATTCAATTATTTGATGAGAAAACAACCGATCATGTTGCAAATGCCGAAAAACTTTTTAATACTGTTATTGGTTCATTTCAAAAGTTTAAGATTCATGAAAACATCATAGGTTTCGGCTCTGATGGATGCAACACAATGATGGGATGTAACAAGCATCTTTGCGCTAGTGACGCATGTAAAGAGCTTCCACAAAATTGTGAAAAAATGGCGCGAAATATTTATAATTATTTTAAGTCCAGTAGTAAAAGGCAGAGTGAGTTAAAAGAGTGCCAGTATTTTGCTGAAGCTGATGTGCACAAAATTCTTAGACCAACCCAGACTAGATGGTTGTCCTTAAATGCAGTAGTGCAAAGGGTTCGTGAACAATGGGATGTATTACATCTTTATTTCGATAGCAAATGGCTGGAAGATTCGGTGTGCCACGATATTCATGCATGCCTGAATGATCAGTTAATCAAGGCTTATTATTATTTTTTGGCTTGGATGTTGCCAAAATTTACAACATTAAATAGCTGTTTTCAGAGCGCATCTGTTTTAATTACGAAACTACATGGGAAAATGACAGCTTTTTATAAAGAACTCTTACTATTGGTTTTACACAGGAATTATGTAAATTCTGCTCCTTTTGAAACTATAGATCCAATGGCAGAAATAAATCACAAGGACCTGAAAGACATATATCTAGGTTTAGGTGTCCAGAAAGAACTAGATTCTGTTGAAAATTAAGAAAGAAAGTTAAGTCTGAGAAAGATGTGAAAGATGAAAATTTTATTATTATAGCTTGTGTTGGCATGCGTAAACGATACTGTTTTAATGATAAAATTATGACAGAAATAGCAAAATTTTATATAGAGAGAGTAATTTCCAATGACAGGAAAGAGTCGGTTTCGTCGTTATTTCCATTACTGCCCAGAATTTCCCCAACTTCAATCCAACATCAACAAGAATTAGATGATGAGTGGCGGAAGTTGCCCTTATACTACAAAGATTTGGACTTAAGTCAACTTCTGACGTATTTTGGCACCAGGTAAGTTTCCAAGTAAACTCAAAGCAAGCTGAATTCATATTGGTTTCTATTGTTATAGCAGCCTAATCATATTTATTTAATTTTTTCAGGTAGGAGAACTGAGCGACCAGCATCGAGAAGGGCATACCTATTTCCAACACTTGTCAAAATTTATGTTGGCCATTTTGTCACTTCCACCCTCGAATGCAGTGCGAAAGAGTCTTCAGCACCGTAAACGATATTCAAACGAAAAAAGGGATTAACTCCTTACTAAATCCATCAAGGGCAATCTCTTATCGCAGCAGACCATACAGCGTCACGGAAAAAACTGTATCGATTTTAATCCCACTCACGCTATGATTCAAAAACACAATATCGAGATGTATCAAAATATTGAAACTATTATACTGTCTGATTCTGATTAAAAATATGTTTTATTTTAACTCTGACCCCTAACATGCTACTAAATAAACAAGGTAATTCTACCGTATTTCAAATATATATTACAACATAATTTCGGAAAATCTACCGTATTTTTAGAAGAATTCTACCGTCCGCTAGATTTCAGACTTGGCAACACTGCTACAGCATATAACGGGTGTCCCAAGAAGAACGCAATTTTTAAATTTTAAATAAAACACAGATATGTAAAAAAAAATCGTGAAACTTTATTATATCGTAAAGTAGACAGAATGAGGTTATGTATGGAACAATATATCGTGCAGATGGCCGCCGCGGCTTTGCTGGCATGCACGCGATCTTTTAATGAAATTTTCAATGACCGTTTTGCATGAATGATGCGGTATTTCATTAATGCAGCGTCCAATTTCCTCTTTTAAGGCTTGAGTCGTCGTCGGCTTATTCGCGTAAACCATCGACTTCAAAAAACCCCAAAGAAAAAAATCTAATGGTGTTAAATCGCACGATCTAGGCGGCCAATTCTGATCTCCAAAACGCGAAATAACACGACCGGGAAATGACTGATGCAGCAATTGAATTGTTTCTCTGGCTGTATGACATGTGGCGCCGTCTTGTTGGAACCACATGCCCTCCACATTCATTTCTTCAATTCTAGGCAAGAAAAAACTGGTTATCATTTCACGATACCGAACACCATTGACTGTTTGCGCTTGACCTGCCTCATTTTCATAAAAAAAAGGTCCAATGATTCCTCCAGCCCAAAAACCACACCACACAGTGACACGTTGAGGATGCATTTGCTTCTCGTGAATCACTCGAGGATTTTCCTCACCCCAAATGCGACAATTCTGCCTATTGACGAAGCCATCAAGATGAAAATGGGCCTCGTCACTGAAGATGATTTTATCGGCAAAATCAGCATTTTCATGTTGTCTCTCCAATACCCAATTAACGAACTCCCTTCGCTGTCCATGGTCAGCTGGCTTCAGTTCCTGAGTCAATTGAACTTTATATGCATGAAGATGCAAATCTTTCGTCAAAATTCGCTGCAAAGTGGATTTGGAGACACCAATTTGCTGAGCTCGGTGTCGAATTGAGGTGGATGGAGTTTGAGCGACATCATCACGTACAGCTGCGACATTTTCGGTCGAACGACCTGGTCGATGGCGCGTTGTTGTCTTTACATCACTAACAGACCCAGTTTCGGCAAATTTATCCATTAATCTCTTTACAGTTGACTCTTTTGGAGCATTATTGCGACCCCAAATTGATCGCAATTTGCGAACTGTAGCCGCAAAACTTTCACTATTTTGGTAAAACAATTTCACAATGAGAATGCGTTGTTCATTCGTGTAGCGCTCCATTTTTACTAACCTCGTACCTTCTACTAGCAAACAATAACAATTGTTCAAATGTCAAACAATGACACTTCGAATGTTGCCAGATTTAAAAATTGCGTTCTTCTTGGGACACCCATTATAAAGAATATTTTATTGGCACGCTCCGCGCTACTCGGCACCGGCTACGTCCTCGTGTTTTAAATAATAACTTGACACATCTCACACACGGCCGACTGATTCCAAACTAGGCAGACTTGGTGCTATGGTAACCACACTGCTCATGAACATACTTACATATTTCTAAATACATACATATTATAGATAATTCAAGATTACACCCAGGCACAAAACAAATCACCTGATCACACAATTATTTGTCCTGGGTGGGAATCAAACTCAGGTTGTGGTTAGGTCAATAACCATTAGATCAACGCCGTCAAGGGGGCCGTCAAATATCTAATATGTTCTAAGGTACATTGTAATGATATGCTGTTAAGTGCAATTTTGATTTACATTAATTGCACAACGTATGTAACGTATTTAATTGGATAAAGAACAATGCTGTATTGTTTCTAATAGCTTCCATTATTCCCGGCTTCCAAGACCATTATTTTTGTAATATGTAAAAGATAAAAATGGTTACTGTAGTGTTATCCTTAGGAGCTAGGGGATGGAATCCTGCTAGGTTCTCCATCTAGGTGGAGGGAGCACGGGGACTACATAAGGTCCTGTGCGCCAATTGATGACGTTTTAATATAGTGATGCAGTAATTTGTTTTCCCTATATGATTCCAAAGTTCAAAAAGATTATTTAGTAGGAGTGAATTTATATTATTTATTTATATATTTCTTTTTACATTTTTATTTATTTATTAACGAATTATTTTTTGGTACAAATAACGTAACGGAGAGTTGGAATCCCAAACAAATATATGCTACCCTAAATAAATTATTAACTGTGATATTGAAAAATATCGATTCTTTAGGCTTCACGTAACTAAATGCCGCCGCAAAGAACACTGTGAGAACGACCATTTCATTTTAGATTCGCAAATGCAATTAATGAATAGTGAAAGTTCTTTGGGCCATTTTGAGAGAAAAAAATTATTATATTTTAAATAATGTATTATATCTTCATTTGTTGACTGTCCTGATTATCAGTTGGAGCACAGGATCATAATATGTAGTCACATGTAGACACAAATCCGTAGTACGTACATACCACAATTCTGTACATAATAATAAATCGAAATTAACCGGCAAACGACCTTGCAACAATGATGCGTTGAATGAGATGAACAGACTGAGAAACCTCTCCAGCAATAACTAAAAAGTAAAAAAATTAAAGGTCAAAAACTTTTTAAATCAAGCTTTTATTTAAATGCACTTAGAAGAATAAAATAAACTTTTCCTTTAAAAGTTTTATTAACAATTTATAACGTCATGACACAATTTATACGAGTATGATTTAAAAGCTTGCCGCGAGATTTACCCGTGTAGATAAACAAGTAAATTAAATAACTTCATATGATTGATTTCAATTAAAAAAAAAATTAAACTAAGTAAATACGAATACTCAAATCTCGCGACAAGCTTTTATATTATATAAATTATTTTATGACGTTATAAGTTGTTGGTTAAAGTTTTAAAGGAAAAAATATTTTGTTCGTTTTAGTGGATTTAAATATTGACTTGTTTAAAAAGGTTTTTTACTCATAATTTTTTTGATTTTTGTTTACAAGTAACCGGAGTAAACCCTACTTACAAATGACTCGAACTTAACTTGTTCATACCTCGTCCTAAGCTTTTGGGTTCTTCTCTTAAACTGAATTCTTCGGCACTTTCCTCATCCTCTTCGGCTGTCGTTGTAGTACCTCCCAACCTGTGCCTTTTTTTTATTTTAACCGCTTCTATTTTGTGAACATTCACACTTCTTTCACCTGCAGCGGGTCTTATCTTAATTAATCGTAATATGAGATTATCAAAACTACTTTCGACAAGCTTGACTTGACTCATTTTAAGTTCCTTTTCTTGTTTTTCTTTACTGGGTAAATCTACGGTATCATCTTTTGGGTTAGGTTTCCTAGTGCTTGTGAGTTTTTCTGCTAATTTCTCTTTTGTCTTTGTTGTTTCCAGAAGTAGTTTTGATAATTCTGGTAATTTGGGTTTTATTGAATCCTTTTCAAGTACTTTATTATTTACTTTAATCAATTGTGTAATTAAGTCACCCGCACTGGACTTACGTAACTTAACTTGGTTTAATTTTACATCATTTTGCTTCGAATCTTCTAAATTATTCGCTTTTTCTGATTTACCTATTTCTGTTGCTTGTAAATCATCACGTTTTTTTTCGAGATGTTTAGCTTCTTTCAGTTCCTCTAGTTTAGGTAATTCTGGTAGTTTGGTTTTTATTGAATCCTTTGCAAGTACTTTATTATTTACTTTAATCAATTGTGTAACTAAGTCGCCCACGCTGGGCTTAATTAACTTTACTTGGTTTAATTTGACATCATTTTGCTTTGAATCTTCTAAATTATTCGCTTTTTCTGATTTACCTATCTCTGTTAGATGTAAAGCATCGCGCTTTTTTTCGTGACCTTTGACTTCTTTTAGTTCTTCTACTTTAGGTAATTCTGGTAGTTTATTTTTTATTGAATCCTTAGCAAGTACTTTATTATTTACTTTAATCAATTGTGCAACTAAGTCGTCCGCACTGGGTTTAAGTAACTTAACTTGGTTTAATTTGACATCATTTTGCTTCGAATCTTCAAAAATATTCGCTTTTTCTGATTTTCCTACCTCTGTTGGATGTAAAGAATCACGCTTTTTTTCGTGACCTTTGACTTCTTTTAGTTCTTCTACTTTATCAGGTTTTCCTTTCGATAATTTATGTATTTCTTTTGATGGAATGTCACCTCCCTGTTTTTCGACACCTGCAACGTCTTTTGACGCCCCTTCTTTTTTTGGATTTAGTTTTGATATTATATTTATTCCCTCAGATTTTTCTGCCTTTTTTTCGAGGCCCGCAACGTCTTTTGATTGTTTATGTTTATCCATTTTATGATGGTCTTTGTGTTTTTTTAGTTCACTTACTTTAACTTCTTCGGCTATTATGGGTGTTAGTGTTTCTTTTTCTTTTATATCTTTTGTTTTTTTATGTTTATCAAATTTATCCTTGATTTTAGATTGTATTATTTCTTTCACTTGAGTTGTTACCAGTGTTTTTTCCTTTTGGTCGTCCATTTTAGTTTTTATTATTTTTTCTTTATCAAATTCAGCTGCCTTATCCTTACCTAATCGCTTATGTAATTCTAACTCTTTCGAAGATTCCCCTTTATCTTTGGTTCCTCGTTTTCCTATTACTTCTTGTTGGATCATCAGATCATCTTCACGTTTTGGATATTTGCCAACGCTTTCAGTCTCTGGCTTTAGAGGTCCTGATTTATCAATTTTCGACGTAACATCCATAAGTTTTGCTTCTGATAACGCTTCCTTATGGAGTAGTTCATCCTTTATAACGTTTTTTTCTTCACGAGCAAGTTTTTTTATTTTCTTTTCCTGTACTTTAAGCTCAAGTTCTTCTTTTTTTTTATTTTCCTCTTCTTCCACTTTTAAACGTAACTTTTCCCGTATATCTTGGATAAGTTCAGGCGAACTAATATAACGTTTCAAGTTTTTGTCTGGTTTTTGTTGGGTTTGAGGAAATACGAAACTTTTTTCTGATTCGACACCAAATTTATCTTTATATGATATTTTGTGTTCTTTCAAATAGTCCTCTTTTTCTTCCATCATCTGCTCTGTTTCATCTTGGTGTTTTGAAGTTTTTGCAATGCTACTCCGGATATGTGCCGCACCACTTGAGGACCGGAGTTTTAAATCATCGTATTCATTTTGTTCATAAAAGCTATCTCGTTCTGTCTTACAATTTTTTACAACGCTGTCAGAACTCACTGTATGGAACATTTCTATTAAATCTGTAAAATTTACGGTTTTTTCTAAACCAGGTACTAGGTTTTTAGGTTGTTTTATTTCTTTTTTACGATTTGTATCTGTTAAATTCAGTTCAGAATGAAACAATTCTTGTACTTTACATTTGATAACAGTTTTAGACGTATCTCGACTCGGTAAATTAATATTTATTTCGGAATATGATCGTTGAATTGTTGGCTTTACTTCAGAAATCGATTTATTTATTTGGTGTTCTGTTTCGGTTAGCCATGATTTAAAATATTTATTTTTATATTTTTCCTGTTCGCCACGAGCTGCTAAAAACTTGTTTAAAATATTTGCACATTTATGGCATGGTCCTTCAGTTTTCATTTTCAAAAGACAATGATCACATATACTTAGAACGTCAGTTCTGTTAACGGTAGGACTGCTATTGATCAATATCTGAGCATATTCAAGTTTTAGTCTACATCGTGGACAAGGAATTTTTTGCAAATCTGAAACAGAAAAGTGAGCTTAATATTGTCCCTAGTGTAAAAGTATTTGTGGGAGGGATAATAATATATACATATAATTAACTACTCTTGGACTTATATTTATTATATCTGTGAAACTAAAACAAAATTCCGAAAGCTTGTCACTAGTTTTAATTTTGTCCAGAAGGAGAATATCACGGCTATGTGCATTTTCAATTAACATCGGCTATGGGTGTCAACCTTTCTATTTGCTTCGTGGTGTCAACCGAGACTAAACATTTACCCTACACGAAACCGCAACATTACACTTTTCACTCACTTAACTCACAAAACCATGATTATTGTCTTCAGCCAAGAGATAAGCTACAAGATTCAGGGTTTTTTCCTGGCTATTCAGTGGAGACCTTAGATTATGAATCTGTAAACTCTGATCTGAATTTAAAGGTTCTTTTAAGGTCACGGTCATTACATGAAATCAGATCCTCATTTTAGTGAAAAATTAAAAAATCACAATACCGTAACCGTAAAACCAATAGTTTTACCTCTAAACGTGTGAGTTTAACCTTTGGTATGGTGACCCTAAGAGGTGAAAATTAGCATACTGAAGGTCTGAAGTGTTTCCTCTCTTTTCAATTCCGGGCTCAAAAATATGCAATCCCATTTGAAAATTGCCCTTGACCCTTGAACTAACCTTTAAGGTTGCAATCAAGGTCAATTTCAAGGTCACCAATGGATAGCCAGGGAAACTGCCTGAAACTTTTGTATTTAAAGTATTTCCGAAAAATGCATCGCTAGCGAATTATTCTGCTGTTCCAGTGCTTTCTAACACCCAGTATATGTATATACGAGTATATATATATATATATATGTGTGTAAATATAACGTAATGATAAAGACGACATACCTAATGGTGATAATAAATCTGCAGTCGCCATGTTTTTATTTTGTTGCTTTCTTTTATATAAAACGAAAACGTTCCGGTTTGTACTTGTACTTCTACCAGCTTGTGCAGCTTCGCTTTTCTAATAAGGGATAAAAAGTAACGTTATAATATGTATATTAATAAATGTTTAGTTGGTTTGTGTACGCTTTAAAAACTAAAGAAGTTCTGCACTGATTGAGCTCAAATTTTGTCACGATGTACAAACCGATTCAAATATAGTTTTTATGTATTTTTCGAGGCAGTTTTCTTCTTTATTTCCCATCAATGCAATTGCAATGTTTCACAGCGAAGAGTGGCAGTGAACTGAACTTTCGGATTGTTTGAAACGACATATGTAACGACATAGTCAAAAAGAAGCCCGTAATTTAGGCCATTCCCGCTTCAACAAAACATTAGGCAAAAGCATCAACTTCTGCTTCAAAGAAAAAAAGTATTGCCCGAAATCTCTCCTCTAAAAAAACAACCCAATCATTCATCATCATCATTTCAGCCGAAACACGTCCACTGTTAGACACAAGTCTCCCCCAAGGTTCGCCACGACAACCGTTTCTGTGCTGACCTTCACCCGGTCGTCGGACCACCTTGGGTGGGGCTACCCATGCTTGCTGCATGCATGCTTTCTTAAATAATATTTTAACGCCCGACGGAAAACGAAGGGTGTTGTAAGTTTAACCTGTGTATCTGTCTGTCTGTGGCATCATAGCTCCCGAACGGATGGACCAATTCGATGCGCATTTTTGTGTTCAAAAGCCGATGTAATCGAGATGGTTCTTAGCTATAAATTTTGAAGATCATCAGCTCACTTCCTAGGTGATGAAGAGATCTCTCTAAAATCCGCAGGTACGGAGCGAGACTGCGTGCAAGTCTGCCGTCTCCTTCTACAAGTAAGTTATGCTTGCGAAGGAGATGGCGAGCGGGACCGGGAGAGGTTTAGAACTCTCCCGGCCCGTTAGGCTCGGGAACGGGCCTGGTACCGCAGACGACTCAGGCGCCGGAGGTCGCAGATCGCATCCGTTCTCCATAAGTGCAGCCCTGGAGGTGACAGGTGAGACCATTTGTCACCAGCAGAAGCAGACCTGTGTGACGGCGAGCCACCCTGCGGAGCGCGAGCACAACGCGAACATGGGGGTCGCCAACACAGAAGGGGGTCATCTACCCGCCGTAGCTGGCCTCAGGTACGTCGGTAGAGATTGCCTTTCTTGTAGGCGAGCGGTTTTTGGTGGGTTCGAGTCCGACATAGCCAGCGGTGGGTGGTATCCGAGGGGATTGCCGCACAGACATAGTCTGTCTATAATTAACCGTAGGGCTAGTATAGCTTCTCTAGTACCTTTATATTGTCGAAAACCATACTGATCAGGCCCTAAGTAGTTCTCTATATGCGGTATGATTCTATTTTGGACTATTTTTAGAAGGATTTCTGATGCTTGAGAAACTAAACTAAGGGTTCGGTGTTCTTCACATTTAAGGCTGTTTTGTTTTTTCGGTAAGGTCACTGTTCTACTAATCTGAAAAACTTGCAGCACAGTTCCTGTTTCGTTCATTTTCTCGATCAGTTAGTAGATCTCGTCTAACAGTGGATCATATTCAGCGTGTTTAATAAGTTCTATGTTTTATAGATCATCCCCAGTAGCTTTTCCATTTTGTGTTGAGTTCAGAGATTTAACAAATTCCTCTTTTAATATTAGAGGTTCTAATTTGTTTTTCACTACAAGTTCTTCTTTCATTCTTTGACCTCTATACTTTGATCTCTCTGCCTTTTCCAGCATTCAGCTTTGTCTTTACCATTAATTAGTATTTTACCATTTTCATTCAAAATTGCTGTGCTTTTCGATTTAGGTTTGTTATCTCATTGCTTTATTATCTATTTGCTTCTAGTTGACCAAAATATTTCAAAACATATTGTTTCAATTAACATTCATTCAAGACCATCAATACGTTTCATTGGAAAAACCCGTTAGATCATAATAAATAGATTCGTTTAAATCAGTAACCAGGTAGCATTCACTAAAATTTAATAGCGATATATCAATTCAAATTTCTAAAATATTTTTGGACCTATGTGTATAAGTATATACATAACTATATAGTATTAAATGATGGGGTCAGAGAAACTATAGCTTTAAAATTACATACGAAGTAAGAGAAAAAATTATGCAGTAATAGGTATAGGTACAGAACGCTGAAGGGCAAGCAGTTTTTAATTCGTAAAATAAAATCCTACTTACGTATTCCGTACGATCAGTGTGACGATAAATGACCCAGCCAGTTTCTATTAGCTTTCCTATTTCTTGGAAGCCGTCGCATGTTTCTTTTTTGCAGCAATAAGGACAATGAATACTTATTTCTCTGGAAATTCTTAGTTCAGTTAGATAGGTTAATAACTTGTTAAATTTTAATTATCAGGCCAAATTCAAACTTACACTTGAGGAGTGCCCATATAAAGTTTAAAACATAACACAATATTAAAAATACATATATAAATGGCTCAATACAATTACAAAAGATTAAAATTGACAGTAGATAAAACAGAAATCAAAAACTGATATTATTCATCATATTTTTTTCGAGACGCTTATTTAGAGCTACTGGTCATTTTAGTACATAACTTGAGTTATATACAAAAAGGAAATACAATTTATTTGGCGCTCTACAGACACACTTTTTTGACCATAATTTTGGACTTCTTAAGATGCAAGTTAATTTACATTTCGAGAATAAATTGTGTTGATGTAAATAGTCTAAAAAACATATAAGTAAACTAAATAAAAATTTGAGTATAAGGGTCGACTAACGTAAATAACTGAATTATATACCAGTTCCCTCAACCTATTTATATAATGGTATCATGAAGATGGCGTAATTGATACGAGACACAATCATAGGAACTCCTTGTCTACTTAACATAACTCCGTCGTTTTTAGCTGGATTTGTCAAAACAAGCTTTGCAGATCTACGGTGCCCACGTTCTGACCAACTGATCCGTAACGTGGCCTTAGGAGCTTGTATTGATGAATACTGGCAGACTATTTTCTTTTCTTTTTTTGTTGGAATACTGTTTTCATACGGAATACTAATGAAACTTTAGATACATTTTTATTAAATTCTTTAAGCGATGCATTATTTTTGTTTTTTTTTATTTCACTACAAATAAAAATTAATTCTTAATAAGTTATGTACAAAAAATGATAAGAATCTGCTTACCTGTTTCAGAGATCCAGCAAAAAACAAACATTACTCCAGCAGGATCTCGAAGCCGAAAAAAAAACAAATACTGAATAAGATGCAACATTTACCTCGTCTAGACGACTACCTAATTATATAGATAATATTTATTTCAATTTTCCAATTTGTTTTTAAATGTCTAGCTTTTTGTGAAATAACTAACAAACTATTACTGGGTGTATATAAGTGCAACTTTAAAAATGTGAGCAAGATTTACAGACGCTAGGCAACTAATTATCTTTAACATTTAAATGACTATTTTCGACATTATTTTGCTGGGGTAACACACACGAAAAATTAAGCTTAATAAATAAGATTTTCCGTATCCCCGATTTGTCCAAAATGTTGGGTCCCAAAAAATAAACCAAATGGTGAGCTATGTGGCAATATACTACAAATGATAAATGATATTTATTTCTGTAAGTAAATCTTTTCAGATATTTTTACAAGTCGGACTTTATAGCTAGAAGGAGCCGGCATTTCCTGAGACTCACTCTGGGAAGAAACGCCGAAACAAACATCAGGTGTTTTTTTTTTTTTTTACGAGCTTTAGGCAGTGTATTGTAGGTAGGTGTTCAACAAGACAATATATTTGCAACAAAACGTTCATTGAGATGCCCCTGATGAGTTGTAAATGTAACAATTATCCCATCAAAAACATTATGTAGGTAATAATAATGTGCAATGAGAGACAAGTTCAATATTAAGAATATGCGTCGTTTTAACATATAATTATTTACAAAATGCAATTACCTATTATAAATTTGATTTGCTGGTAAAAACTAGCCAAGTCAGATTTAATCTAAATTTTGTCATCATTAAGTGAAATAATTACATTTTCTACATAATAATCTCATAAAATTTAAGAACTTATATTACTTATTAACTAAAAAATATTGTGGGAGCATCAAGAAACAAGAAATTGTTATATAACATACATGATGAATGTTGTATGTTGAAACAAGAAAGAATGTTGTATGTTCTTGTAACTAAAATTTTAGGATTTTCTTCACAGAACTTGGCACCTACATAGATCTCTATTTTTTTGTCGGCGAAATCGAAAATGAAGCATATTCTTAATATTGAACTTGGCTCTCATTTCACATTTATGTTTTTGATGGGATATCATTCCTTTTTGCACAGAAATTATTAGTATTCATCATTAATACATTGTTGTTTGTAAAATTACTCTATTTTCCTACGTTTACATGCAAGCGAATGGAATAAGCAACTCCTATAGGGAGGCATTGACATTATTCGGTGTTATATGACTGCATCGCACACCATTTATTGTGCGACAGATTTTAAAATATTTAGTTAATTAAAATAATTATAAAATGAGAAACAGTTTTTTTAGATCTGATCTAAAAAAACTATAAATTTCAACTTAACTACAAGATTCAAAATTTGCTCAAGTAGGTACCTACCTAGAAAGGCAAAGAAGCAAATTAGTTTTTACTTTGAAAAAAGAAAATAACTTTACTACTTTCGTAAACTTTGTGAATACGTTTGTTGGTTAGGTAAATATTCTTAATAGTCTATTGGTAGGTATTTACTTTTGACAAATTTACCTAAATGAGAATTTACAAAGGATAAACAACTACTTAATTATTATATATTTAAAAAGAAAATTGATTTAATCCCATTGAATATCAAATAGAAGAAATAGGATTTTTATGTTTATTTATTAATGGATTATATCAGTTGTAACTCAACTCTGTACAAACATAATTCATTACTTTTTAAATAGACTTCGAGAGACAACAGCACGTTGTGCATTTAATGTAAATTAAAATTGCTCTATACAGCTCTACATTGAAATGAATATTTTAGAAGATATTAGAGGTTTAAAATACGGAGCCCAACGACCGTCCAGCCGTACGTACGTCCCGGGGCCAGCATCGGAGCGGGCCTATAAATATTGCATTTAAAGATGTCCTGTAGATAGTCCTATCATAATAATTGTATAATTAATTACTCCACACTGACACTGCATTCTTAGTATTGGTAGTATCTACATTGCACCGGTGCGAAGCCGGCGCGGATTGCTACTACGATATAAGAAACAAAATTATACACACGGTTACTTTTTGATCGTTTTAATCATGTGGAAGAATGATAGGGTACATGCAACAGCATCTATTTGTGAAGGTAAAATAAAATATAAAAATGTTTTTTCTTATAAATTCCTAATAACTCTCGCTTTAGTGACAAAAACTAACCATTCATATCGGGGCGCGCACGCACGCAACGAAGATAGGTAACGCAACCCTAACTCGTGGCGCTACTATTTTCATGCATTTTTTAAATTTTAGGGATATAATGCAGACTAAGTTGTTAATTACTAGTACTTTGTTAACTTACAAAGTCTAAACCACCTGTCCATGGGATTAAAACGATAAAAAATAAACGTGTATTCATCTACTTTCATACTTAAATTTGTTATTAGTATTACTTTATTGATGTTAATTATCAATAATTTTCAGTTTTTAGATTTATTCCTTTGTTTTTAGGTCATCAAAATGGGTTAGGTTTTTGATCAATAAGTCAGTGAGTCAGTCATCAAAATGACGGTTTTTAAACGTTAATATATCAATAACTGTTTGAGCAAAATTTATGAAATTTTGGATTCTAGAAAACCTAATAAATGTGCCAAATTTCATATTTGAAGGTTAAATAGTTTTCGAGTTGTGAAGGGGTCAGAAGTAGCTCGAAATGGTTCGTGAAATATTTTACACGGCTGCTACCCATTGTTGCTCCAATGGGCAATTATTTATGCCTATAGTTCACCAGAAAGGCCTTTTTTTATCGTAGTATTACGAAAGAATAATCGTGATATTAAATTGTAAAGCCATGTAAAAATCTGTATAAAGAAAAATGTTACCTACTTACTTTTACATTGAAAATTATATTTCCTCTACACTTCAACATTTTATAAGATGAGCATCTCCCATTTTTAAATTGTTTAATTTTAGAAGATTGATGTTGTGCACACAGAACTGTGATTCCTTTTCTCTAATAAAGTTAAATATTTGCTCAGCAGACATATGTAGCTACAGGGTGATGGAACGTAGATGAATTATATTTAAATTAATGTAATGTAATATTTCTTTTTTAATATCAAATGATTAATATGACCAGTACTTTGAAAACATCAAAAAGGAAAATGCCATATTATACTACATTTATTTTTTACATATTATTTCTAGTATCTGCTTCTTGAATGTTGCATTAATATTATTAGTGTTATATAGGAAAAAATAATTTAAAATAACTTTAAAATAACTTTCCATAGCTGACCTAGGTGGACTGGACCATAGGGAACAAAGAGGCTGCGCGCCGCCAGTTCCTTGACTGGACACGCTACCTTTACATTTTACAGAAAGTACCAAACACACGGTATCCAGTTGATTTCACTCTGTGCACAACTGCACATCCTCCAAAATGTAAAATGAAACTAATTCAAACTAAGTACCATTAATAACATTTATTCAGTCCAATACTTACTTCTTAAATTGAAATTTAATAATAATATATTTAATCTCTTTTTCTCTTGAATAAATTAAAAACCTTTTGCAATAGTGAAACTGGTGTTCCTACAGGTTTGAGGACAAGCTCTTTGGTGCAAATATTATGTAGAGGGCCAAAGGCAAGAGCTACAACAGTACAGGCAAGACAGATGACATTGTATGGCATACTGAAATCTGGAGTTGGAAGAGACACCATAGCACCATTTGTCCTGAACACAATTGGGTACCCTGAAAAAAAAAAGATTAAGTCTGATGTGCTTCTCCGTTTAAGATAAAAACTAACAGTCTTGAACATCCTTTAAACTCACATAGCTTTGAAGCATTCAGCATAGAATCAAATGTAGTGCCTGTATTTGGCAAGCTTGTATAATTTTTTGCAGTAGGTAAATTAGCTAAAATCAAAGCTGATCCAATGTAGAATCCATGATTTGCATCTGGTGGATACTCTTGCCATTTTAAGAAGACAAATTCAAAGTCTATAGTAATAGTTGTGGTTGATCTTGGAGGTAATTTCATTAAAAGTTCCAGATGATACGGTTTCTGTCTACTACGGCCAGGAGAATAATATTGTGATATTATTAAGCTACTTTCAGCCTCACCATTAATTCTAAGTGTGCTGAGTTGTATTGGCAACCACCATGGTGCATTTTCTAGCACAACAACATTAATAGAAGTCCAACAATTATTGGTCAGTTCAGTGACTATGCCTCCAAATTCTTTCCCATAACCAAGGACATAACGGTTGAAATAAAGCGGTGGGGGAATTGGCACTGGTAAATCTGAGTTTCTATTATGTTTAATTCCAATGTTAATCATTTGCTCATCAGGCTTTACATCATAAATAGCTAATTTGACATCACTACCGCCTCTTTGTGACAAGACAACACTATGCGGTGGTGGTATCAATGTAAAGGGTTGTGTATCATTTGAAGTAACATCTACATAAATCTTGCTGTCAGATGACAGTGGGCAAGCCCCTGGTAAACCCTGCCCATATAACTTACGAAACGACCACTCACTACTGGTTAGTATATCATAATCATATACGAGTCCAACAGTTTGTTTAATTTCAAGATTGTTTTCACTGCAATCATTTGAAATACAATTTTTTCTAACATGGACCCCAACAGAATGATAATTGGTATTGTGTATCATTCTAGAGTTCAGTAAAGCTGAAAAACCCTTACTTGACTCACAAGGTAAAAGCTTTTTCCAAGGTGTTAAATTTTCTGTACATACTATTTCCCGAGGTAAAGATGCATATCTTAAATGTGAAGTGACATTTTGACCGGCCTTTACTGCACCTGTAGGCCATAGAGTCATTTGAGGGATCACCGTATTAAAGTTCTCTATAAAATTTAAAGATGCACAAAATAACCCTGAAAGTGTTGATGTTAACTTTTTCCATTGTATGTCAACATCAACAACATCAGCAGAAAACCATGCATATAGTTCTGCACCAGGGGCGGCATCTAAAACTGGGTAACCCCATTGATTATGACGCCACTGTCCCTCAGTTAAAGTTAAATGGAGCTCTTCTACATGAAAGCGAGATATTACTTCGACTAGTGATCGAGGTGCCAAATGAGAATGAACTGAAACAGAAAGAGGCTATAAATATTATAATAATTTTATCAAAAAACCGGCAATGTATAGACAAGTTAAACTGCAACTTACACGACGAAGTATCACTATTTACCAATGTTACAAATTGAAAATGAGTGTATAAATGAGACGGCGGCAAAGATTTAATAAATAATTCCTCTTTGAATACATCGCAATGTATGCAAGAAAATACAATAAAGAAAATATTGTATAATAATAGTCTACGGACAGATTCCATTTATATTCACACTTAATCTAATATAATTTTAGAAATTCTAGTGCCAAGTAAAATCGCGTTTTTAGATTTTCAATTTCAGTGACATTTGGTTGACACTTTTTATTTGTCATGTTTTGAGTTTTGACATCTACCTTTTTTTATCATAGAGTACATTTTGTATAATATCTGGTTCGAATGATCCCCAGTAAATTTTTTGATGTATGAAGTAGGCAGTTAAAATAAATTTAAATCTGCTCTCTGTATGTATTTCAATTCATTAATATCAATTTGAAACAAAACGTTAGTATAATTAAGACTATTAGCTTTTTTTTTATATTATATACAATTGTCCACCTTATCCATCCAAGTGTAGGTTTTCTTTACAATATTCTATTTAATTTCATTACTAAAACTTGTAATTCGTGACCTTGTTAGGGATAAAACCAGTGTTACTCAAGCAATGGATAGGCCGTGGCCTATCAGTTGAAGCTGCGAGATTAGAAGTCCCAGTTCAGTTGAAGTATGATATACGTACCATAATATACCTTACATTATGGAATACGGGGAATTGGGGCATAAAGCCCGGTAAACTCAATTGGATAATCAATTTGGATAATTGTCAATTATCCAATTTGACATAGTTTTGAAGTCGATTTTTCTAGTCATAAATCTGGATTTGCTGAAAAACCTGTGACAGTACGAATATATTAATTAACATCTAACATAGACACATCTCTACCAATTTATATAATTTCCGGGCTTCAACCGACACAGGGTTAGCCAGAACACTATTACAAAGGCCGATATTCATACCTCTCGAGACCCCTAAATGTTCCCTGTAAGTTCTGTTCCTTACACATTCAAAAATAATGTGTAATATATCATCGGTTACACGGCAGTCCTCACAGTTGGGAGATGAGACTTTTCCCATTAAAAATGCGAATTTCTTAGAAGCTATATGACCTGTTCTCAACCTTAAGGCAGTTACCAAAGCTTTTCTATTAAGTTCCACGTTTTCGATCCATGGGTATTTAGGTACTTGCGGCTGTATTGTACGGTACCAAATACCTTTCTCTCTCGATCTCTCATCAAAATATTCTTGCCAACACATATGACATTTTTCTTTTACGACTCTGGTGTAGTCAGTATCTAAAGGCAATACTTTTAATGTACTTCCTAATACCAACATGTGAGGGAATCCATTGCAGAACAATTTTCCTACTTTGTGATTGAAAATGTAGGATTGACTCCAATATTTGATAGGCTATCGGATTACCTCGCATGTGCGAGGTACATCGAGCCAAATGTTGCAAGGAGCTTTTAGAATCCGTCAGAATCACGAATTTATTATACTTAATAGATTGAACGTATGATAAGGCTTCTGCTATAGCGATTAACTCAATGTGCATTATAGAAATATTGGAATCAATCCTAATTTTGATGCCTCAGTCGTTGAATGGGTCGAAAAATGCAGCACCACCAACTCGTCCGTCCTTGGATCCATCTGTATAAATCTTATGATTTCTGTCGTATCATTGATCTACAAAATTGACACACGTGTTTCGCAGGTCACAAGGTTTATACAAATGTTTACCCTTATTGACTGATGGGATAGAATCACAAACCACCTGCGATAAATCTATACTGCTGACCCATGTTTGCAATGAATACATCTCTAACTGGTTACACGAATGTAGCACCATCGAATCCAAGGATTGGAAAATAGTTGTGAGTAAGGGACGTCGTTTGTTGGTCCAATAAGAAGAATGTGTACTCGCCGATAGTTCCTGCACACCAGTGATTGTCTTATTATTATTAAACGTTTTAGCTTTTAACCCGAATTTACAAGCCAAGTATTGCCGACGTTATTGAAGTGGTGGTAAGTGTAATTCACTCTCCATTGTGTGTATTGGAGTACTCCGGATAAAGCCTCCTAAAACCCGCAACGCTTGGTTCTGGACTTTGTCGAGTTTATATAAGTACGTTTTACAACTATTGTCATATAAGAAACTACCATAGTCCAATCTACTTCGGATGAGAGATATATATAAACCCCTTACATGTTTTTGATGAAGACCCCATCCCCGTCCGACTAGTACCTTTAATATATTTACTAACTTGGATACCTTAAGACAGTCTCATTAATATGTTTTCTCCATCTTAATGAACCATCCAACCACATACCAAGATATTTCACCAGGTTGACAGTAGAGACGTTATCAATTTGGAATTCAATAGTATCTCTGGAATAACCTTTCCTAAATATGCAGATTTTACTTTTAGTCGGTGAGATCACAAGCCCTAAGTTTGATAGCAATGAACTCAGGTCGAGGCAGGCATTTTGTAATTGTACTGCTGCATTACCTATCTTTTTATTTGATTTGTATAAAACAAAATCATCCGCGTATGGCAAGATCTCAACATTTTGTATCTTTTTACATATGTTTGAGGTTACTATGTTGAACAGTAGCGGGGAAAGCGGATCTCCCTGAGCTAAACCACGACCGTTGGTTCTAGATATATCGACACCATCTACGTCAACGTGCAATCGTCTATTTTTTAAATACGCCCAAAGGTACAAGCAAATCCGAGAGCCAACCCCATAGCTATCCAATACTTTGATAAAACATGCCAAGTCTACATTATTGTATGCGTTGTCTATGTCGACGAAGCATGCAGCAGTTAAATTTTTTGAAAAACCAGTTTGAATGTAGGAAACCAACCGTGTCAGATTATCTAAACAGGATCTAGATTTACGAAAACCTACCATATTATCTGGGGACATATGACATTTTTCAAAGTACCATTCCAATCTTTTATTTAAAATGTTGTGTAGAATTTTACAAAAACAAGAAATTAGTGATATTGGGCGTAATGCACTATCTGAATACATATCCCGACCAGGCTTCGGAATAGGTATAATTTGCACGTTACGCCACTGAAGAGTTACAAAGCTATGATTGAGAAATTGATTATATAGGGTTAATAAAAAGGATTTACCTATAGGTGGAAGGTTTGCTATCATAGAAAAGGACACGTCATCACTACCCCGTGCAGTGTCGGTACGTTTTATAGAATTTTTTATTTCTTGAAGAGTAATAGGGGACTCCAAATGACTATTTTTCGATTGGATATTAGGTTGAGGTGGACATACAAAATCTGGGGTGATATCGTTTAAGAGCTTCTCTATTTTCTCTTTGTTTATGTGTTGTAATGTATGGTGTGTATGACCTTTAATCCATTTCATTTTCCGCCAAAGTATTCTTGAGGAAGATGTTTCATCCACGGATGAACAAAATTCCTGAAAAGATTTCCCTCTGGCTAGCCGAATAGCACGCTGTGCATCTCTTATTTTGTTTTGCAGTATAACTAAGTTACCAGGGGATGGACATCGTCGCAAGTTGGCAAGGGCCAGGCGGCGCTCAGCTACCGCTTTTGATAGCTCTGCGTTCCAATAGGGTTTAGGTGTAAATTTGCTGGTTATTTGTTGGGGTATTTTTTTAAAAGGAATGTATAAATTCGCTGCTTCTTGTACGATCTTTTCAAATAAATTGTAAAATTCTTGAAGTTGTGAAGGGACAGAAATTGACGATAAAGCGTTTTCTATATAAGACGAATATGCCTTCCAGTTACTATTTTTGAAATTTCTTTTTGTTTTAATTTTTTTAGGGATGTGTATGCTAGCATATAGCTTAATTATCAAATGGTCACTGCCGAGATTTTCGTTTGTGGGTTGCCAAGTAAATAAGGTCGCCAAGTCTGCGGAAATGAAGGAGATATCTGGTGATGATTGCTGTAAAATACCATTAACTAATCTAGTACGCGTAGCGCAACCATTATTTAAATAAATAAAGTTATGATCTATCATACAATCGTATATCTGGTGACCCCTCTGATCAGAACGACATGACCAGTTGGGGTGATGTGCGTTAAAGTCACCAAGAAGTAGCGTTTTTCTATCAGAGAGAGAAAATAGAAAGTCCCAATCGTTTTGTGTTGTACGTACCGTGGATGGGCGGTATACAGAAATTATGTTTTCTATGTGTGGGCAGTTAAAAACTTTTACATGTATTAGTTCTATGTCCGGATTAGTGCAATTAGTTAAACATGTGGTGCACTGAATGGTGTTGTGTGTTAATATAGCAACCCCTCCATATCCATCAAATCTATCAGATCCATATATGTTGTAATTACTTATACGAAAAGCACTTCCTCGCTCCAGCCAAGTCTCACTCAGGACTGCAATGTGTACCTTTTCTTGTATTAAAAGAGTTTCGAGAGATAAGGATTTCGGCCTTAAACTTTGACAATTCCATTGCATTATGACAAAATTTGTTTTGACACAAGTACTATCCATAATTAATAAGGCTATTAAAAAGTGAACTAACAGAAGTACAACTCAAAATTTTTGACAATATCCAGTCTGTGCAAATTGAAACTACTTGTTTAATTTTGTATTCTAAAGAAATCTTACTAAATATAATATTTTTTAACTGTACAAGTACAAGTGGTAAAAAACTTAAATTTTCAAATTTGTTATTGAAAGTCATACTATGAGTCTCTTTTTCAACCCGAGGACAGTCGTCAGAACTTGTAAACCCCGACGCCTCTTTATTCCAGTTAGTCTCCCTGCAATCTGCGGCACTGGAAGATGGGGGAGGTGGTAAAGGTGTAGGCGCTCGTTGTCTCTTTTTCTTTCTGCGTGATTGCGTTGAATTAGGCTGATCCGCGATAGAAGTAATTAGTTGAGAAAATAGGAGTTCGCTTTCTGGCCTATCGTGTTGGTTATTCACGTGTGTACTTTCTGAGATTGCGATTCGTTGTGATTGTATTTTATCTTCTTCATACAGCTTGTTAGGTCCAGTTAGTTTAGGAATCGGGCTAGGCGGGACATATATTGACAACGCTTTCCTATAAGTACAATTAAACTCAGACATTAACTCCCTGATCCTCCTCTCTTTCTTAAATAAAGGACAGGATTTTTGCAATGCCATGTGATTTCCTGTACAGTTGACACATTT